GCATGAGTTACGGTGCAACTGGCCCACGAATTCAATGTTAATGAGTCAACAATATAAATTAAGGTGTCTTTAAAAAAACAAAACAAACAAAAAACCATAAAATAAGGTATATATTTATCAGTTGATAAATACGTGACCAGAGGCTCGCAGAAACCTAACCCCGTATCTCCCTCAGGAGTGATGGTTTAGTATTCACTAATTGAGTGTCTGTGCTGACTTTACAGAACTTACTGTGAATAACAAGAATCAACTGTACTTTATTAAACCAGATTTGTGCACTCATCCTATACTATGATGAATGTTTTATACTCAATTGGAGAATACATAGGAAATCAGCAACGAATTATTCAAATATTTCTAAGTAGGGGGCTGGCACCGTGGCCGCGTGGTTAAGTTCTCGTGTTCCACTTCAGTGGCCCGGGTTTCGCCCGTTTAGATCCTGGGCGTAAACATGGCACCATTCATTAAGCCATGCTAAGGTGGCATCTCACATGCCACAACTAGAGGGACCCACAACTAAAAATACACAACTATGTACCGGGGGGCTTTGGGGAGGAAAAGGAAAAATAAAATCTTTTAAAAAATTAAATAAATACATAAATAAATATTTCTAAGTAGTGGACTGGTAAAATGTCCCTTCTTAAAATATGACATAGACATTATTTCTGGCAAAAATCTCCGCATTTCAATCCAATTTTCCTTATTAACCTTTCATCTCTTCTTACCAAGAATAATTACTGACGTGGTCCCATCTCCAACCTCTTCATCCTGTGTCCGGCTAATTTCAATCATGGACTTGGCTGCTGGATGCTGTACCTGAATCTGAAAGAAAAATGTAGATAGCCACTGAATCAACACTACTCAAAGACCTCTTAACCCATTCTGCTTGGCCCTAACTCTTGAGCTTCCTGCTTCTACACTTACTCCCTTTTCCTTTGTTTTACCACAGCTTCAAAGTTTAAACGTGACTCCAAAAATATCTAAGTAAACCGCCTTTCCAAGTCCCCTTCCTTTTGGGGAAAAATGTACTATGCCAACTCAACTACTCAAGTTTCTTTGGCAGATAACAGTACCTTTTAGCTTAATTACGGGGAGCATTATTGTTGTGGAAAGAACATGTTGAAGTCCTACCCCCTGGAAATTGTGAATGTGACTATATTTGAAAAACAGGGTCTTTGCAGATTCAATCAAGTGAAGATTGAGGTCATACGCATATCAGGATACGCCCTAAATCCAACCACTGGTGTCCTTATAATAAGAGACACACAGGAGAATGCCATACAACAACTGAGAAGGACTGAGTTACGAGCCAAGGAATGCCAACGACTGTGGTGAACCATCAGAAGCTAGAAGAGGCAAAGAAGGATTCTTCCCTAGAGCCTTCAAAAGGAATACAGCCCTGCTGTTACCCTGATTTTGAACTTCTAGCCTCCAATCTACGAGAGAATAAATTTCTGTTGTTTAAAGCCACCCAATTGTGGTAATTTGTTACTACAGCCCAAAGAAACTAATCATCATCTACATATATCTTTATGGGTCCTTCACAAAATGATTAGAAAGCAAAATGAGAAGTCATACCTCTCGAAGAATGGCATTGCCATCGTTGGTCATCACAATACCTCCCATTGGGTCCAAAAGCATCTAGGACAAAAGTAAAAGTTGTATTTAAGTGTTCCAGATAACAGAAAGGGAAAAATCTGTAGTCAAGAGTTTCAGTGAGATAAGCCTACCTTCATCATGGACTTGGGTCCCAAACATGTTCGGATGATATCTGCAATAGTCTATCGGAAAGAATATGTAAAACATCTAAGTGCAGATCAAAGGATGGTGAGTGTGTATATTAAGGGAAGGGGCATGAGTAATCCCGAGTCAGTGTTTTATCAACTATACCTCTAAAGTAGGGTTGGAACCCACTTTAGATATAGCAAACCATGTGGCTAGATTCTGTTGTTTTTCCCCTTTGGGGATGCTTTCAGGGTAGATGTAGAAAGAAAAACCTTTCACAAGAAAAAAGGCGGCACACACCCCAGAGCTTCAATTTCCCAGCAGTCCAGGTAACTGGAAGTCCATGTCTTAGTATTTCTTTCCGTGACAGCAGCCTCCACACCATGCTAAATCAGATCTAGGGCTATTTCATTCTTTCACTAAAAATATATTTACTGAATACCTATCCAGGATCTTCAGGGGGCACTAGGAATACAAAAGGGAAACAGTTCTTCCCCTCAAGTAACTCTGTTTAGTATAGAAGACAAACACAAACAGAATACTGTAAAACAATATACAGCAAGAGAATTATACACAAGTTAACATGAAAAGACTATTAGGCCTCTCTCTCAGAGGAATCCTTCTCTCTACCACCATCAGGAAAACGTCCTGAAAGAAGGGAAGTCAACTATTCCTCTCCCTAATTGCAAAGAAACATAGAAATACTAGGAAAGGCAGCTGGAGGCAAACTATTATACTTTAAACAACTTAAAGATATGCTACCTTAGCAGCATTGATGTTTCCAGATTGAACTTTTCTTCCAGATTCACGCTTTGTGTTCTGGCCTAAAACAGGTAAGAAAAAAAGGCAATAGCCAAGGATCACTCCACCGTGTATTAGCTATTTATTCCCCGACCTTTGAAAAGAAACACACAGGTATATACATTGACCAAAGCTTCTCAAATTGAGCACTTTAAATATGTGCGGCTTACTGTATCTCAATTATACCTCAAAAAATTGTTAAAAAGTAAACATATGTACTTATGGCTACTTCTTTATTTACCTCAACTCCTGGTATACTAAGAAACAACCCACACAGCTTTGACTTTGGAATTCTGGTCACTTTCCCTCTAACCAAACATTCATGTATTTACAACAAGGATTCATAACCTGAAGTCCATGAACGGGCCTCACTGGGATAGTGAACTCCCTGAGATTATACCATAAAACGGGAGATACTGCATTTTTGTCTGGGAAGAGGATCTACGGCTATCATCAGATTCTTAAAGGGCTGATGACCCTAAAAAACCATCAATCACTACTTTATGTAAAAAGGGAAAGTTTGGGGGTTCATATTTTCCTACTTGGATAGGGGGAATCGTACTCTGACAGTTCCAGCATAATTACTCATAGTGCCCCCACAATGTGCTGGGGAATGAGAACACACTCTCAAAAGCGTCCCAATTTGTAAGACAGTCACTTCATGCTTGGATATGGTAAGAATGCCTCAGTAACCGATTTACCATCAGTAAGAGCTGACTACGTATTTTAATAAGGAGCCTCATCAGTTATAGCCAGTAATGCCCGGGATTAATGTAAACCTGAAAAGGGCTTCACAATGCACCACTCACTCCAGGGCCCTCTCAATGGAGACAAGCCAGTGGTGATAACGAAAGGAACAAAGTGCTTATTTCCCTCCTCTCCAAATTACACATTCCCTACAATTTCAATCCGTAAATTTTTTCAATCCAGTCCCATCACATCTCAACACTCACAACTCTCAGGATTTAGATTTCTATTTTACACAGTGGTAAAAAAAATCTTGCATTGACCTTTCCGATGGATTCATCAGAAATACTGTTTTTTCTGGGGTAAGAGAATTTTTCCCTGAAAAGTTATCTTCCAGGTATAGAGAAAAACGGGCAACACCTGAACAACATGCTGTACACAGAGGATTGTAAGGAAGGGAAATGGCTAGTCGGGCATCTTAGGTGGTCTTGCAGATGGGGTACAGAAGTTACGCACAGAATCGAAACATACTCTGGAAGACAAAGGAGGTGGTACTCACTAGTCAAAAAGAAATGAGAGATGTTCTCGACTAGTAAAGAGAACCAGTGGATAAATTTGGGGAAACTCAGCAGGTCAGTGGGAGAGATTACAACGCAGAGGACACTGAGGGACATCTAGGACCAGTAAGAGAAGCAGGGTCACTTCAGGAACAGGGGTTGCTGAACGGAATTTCAAGAGGACTGTTACCGAAAAAAGTAACCAAGGATTCCACTCGCTGTTCGCCAGATCCTCTTTGAAGCAGTTTACCTACTCATCTCATTTAATCCTCACAATTCTACGAGGAAATACCGTTAGCCCCAATTATCAAGATGGAAACGCTCAAATCAAGCAATTTGTCCGAGGCCTCACCGCTACCAGGGGATGGGCCAAGGTTATAAAGCTAGGCCGGACTGAAAAATCATTATTCATTCATCTACACACTGGAAGTCACGCCGGGAAAGGTGGAGGGGCGGGGGAGGGGGTGAAGAACGCAGTGCCGAGCGGGAAGGGGCTTCTCGGGGCCGGTGCCCGCAAAGACAAAGGCGGCGGCGAGGGGAGGTCAGTTTGCGTTTGTGAAGACAGCGGAATAGGTCAAGTGAAGCGAGGACAGCCGGAGAGAGGGCTTCCAAAATGAACCACGACTGGAAGGCTCAGTGGCCGGAGCAGGGCGGGAATGGGCTGGGGCAACACTGTAAAGTGTGGACCGAAGGGGCGAAAAGGGAATCCCTTCCCCGACTTCCCCACAACTCACTGAGCACGAGAACGGGACGATGGCCCATCATGGCGGCGCGATGCAGAGCCGGGTACCCTCAGCTGGGATAACCGGCAGAACCTTCTGGAGAGAACCCTAGCAAAAAGACCAGAAAGCGCTGCCTCCTCAGGGCTTACACCTAAACCCACTACCCTCAGCGTCGCCGCCAATCACCGTATCCATCTCATTGACCGGCACGAAAACAGGCCAATTGACATCCTTAGACCCGCCCCCTACGCAAGAACGGCAGGGCAAGCTAGATAGAGAGAGCGCGATGATGGAAGTGGGAGGGCACAGGCGCTTGCGCAGTAGGGTGGCCGCTCCCGGCCGCGTGCAGCGCGATCCTCGGCGCAAGCGCCTAGGCGCCGGCAGTTGGACGGCACGCTACTGCGCATGTGTTTCAACTACAAGGGTGGGCGCTGGGGTTGAGACTTTCGATTGACACCGCAGGTGAAGTCTTTAAGGCTGTGCTGCGCCTCAGCCCTTCTCGGGCCGCGAAGATCGAGAAGGGTGTGACGGTTTCCACTCTTTCGTTCCAGTCTTAGCACCGGGGAGGAATAGAGGGGTGGGACTTCGACCGGCAGTTAAAGGAAGACCTGGCTGGTTTGATGCAGGGTGAAGTGGGAGTTGTAGTCCTATCCGGCTGAGCTGGGCGGTAACAATCCTTCTGGGCACGCTGGGAGTTGTGGTTTATTGCCTCTGGACTCCTTGCTGTGAATGGACCTTTCCCTTCTTGGGCAAATGCTTTTTGTTGAGGCTGTGAGCGGTACCGGAGGGGGATGGCTTACTTTTTCCCCGAGTTATCCTATCGAAAACATTTTGTCAAGTATTCCCTTTAGTGCTTAGAGATTTTCTTTCACCACGTCTATTCCCTCCCCTGCCCTCCTTCTCCGCTCAACTCCTAGTCCGTTAGAGATGATGGGGAGCTAGAGTTTTTAAATTACCTTACGGGACAGGAAAAGGGCTGATACTGCAGAAATTAAACGTGGAGAGAACACAGAGAATAATTGCTCGTTCGCAGAAGATTCAAGGTTTGGGTTTGGTTAAATTACTATTTTTTCCACTAAAAAAGGAAGCAATAGTAATAGATAACAGCTGTTTTACTAACTAGTGAAGGCACCGTGAGAGCACAGACAATTCAAGAAGAGTCACTTATATTTGGCCATGAAATAGAAGAGTACACCCTTTCACACTTTTTCCTCCCAAAATTGGAACAGCCTGAGATCTTCTGGAGAGAACTTATGAAATTGTCAATAGTAAGGTAATAGCATAGGTTGTTGATGCTGTAATGCTTTGATTCTTTCCCAGGCACCACACCTGTAGGTGTTCAGATGGAGCAGCAGACTACTCATCCTGCTAACAGAAGAGGTGTGTCAGAAGGCCTGCTTCCTTTCCCTTAAAACCAGACCTCCTTAATGGCTTAGCATTTGGGAAAATGATTCTAGTTGTATGTATGTTTTTTCCTTTTGCTTAGTTAATTGAAAGGTATTTGTATTTTTTCTGCATTTCCCACTAAATGGGAACATTGCTGTATTCCCAGTGACTAGAACCGGATCTGTTAAATAATAGATGCCCAATAATTATATGTTGAATGAATATTATTATTCTTCCTTTATATCTCCTCTTAATACTTAGAACAAGGCTGTGTACAGGGATCCCAGAAGACATAGTGTTGGCTAGAGTGAACTCAGTTTGAGCTGGACGGTCCCATTGGTGGCCAGGGAAATGCCTGAGGCCATCTGAATCCAGAGCTTATCCACTTAACTGTAGTGGAGTAGATTACTTTATCTGAGAGGCCTACTGTGTCTTAGCTTGCACAGAAATGAACTAGCTCTTTTCACAGAGTATACTGTGCAGTGATAAAGAGCATGACTTTGGATTCTACAGGGCTGAATGTCATTCCAGCACTGCCACATACTAATTGTGGAATTTTGAGGAAATTTCCTACCTTAAGTTTTTTCAAATATGTGGATAAAGCTACCTACTTCAAAGAGTTATTTGTGAGAAATATATATGATAATGTACGTAAAGCACCTTTTATTATTATTTTCTCTGTCCTGCCTCCTTTTGCTGCTCCTCAACCTCATCTTCTGTTATACATTCTCTAGTCAGCAATACGGTTCCTTAGTATGAATTGCCTGTAAAGTATTCTTCAAACCTTACAACCCAGTAGAAAATGCATCGTTATATACCTAGGAAGGGCTGAAATTATTTAGAAGTGCGTTTGTATGGAAATTAACAAATTTTTCAAATGGTGAGAAGAATCTTGAGACCTGAGTTTCAGTTTCTATTTTCTTACCACTCTGCATGAGCCGTCAAATGACTGATGACTTTGAAGCAGGAGGGAGGAGAAGATAGAGGCTCTACAGCAGGGTTTGGAAAATCCACAAACCCAGAGCGAAAAATGGATTTCCTTCACCAAGCATAACTGACAGGGAATAGAACAGATTTCAATTTTCATAGGCTCAGTGACTTTCCAGACAGAAAGCACCTCAGCCTAGAACTCACGTATGAGCACTTCTTCATCTTGGCAGGCCGTTCCTCTGTTGTACTCTGAGTAAAGGACGAGAATGAGACATCTTCCTTCATACAACCTCCCTGTCATACCTCTGCCCCAGGCTTGTTTTTGGTGAAGAGGCCCTCTCTTTGTCTTCATCCTTCAAATGCCAGCTGAGACTGGGTCACTTCCTCGGAACATGTGCCAGCTCCACAGACTAGGTTAGGTGCTCTTAGAGCATTTAAGGGGTGTAATAATGTGCGTGCTTATCATTCAATGACTATGTACACTGCAGTGCTGTCAGTTCCATGACAATAGTGACCACATCTGTTTAGCTCACTGTGATATTGTCAGTGGCTGACACATTCCAGGCACTTAGCTCTCTCTTATCTGTATGAATGAATGAATGAAGGAATTCAACTTTTCTATCCTTTTTTGATCTCATTATGACATTAAATTATAGACTCCCCACTGTCCCAAGCCCTTTAATTCTTTCATGGTCCCAGCTCTTCTGCGTTTCCACCCATTGCTCCTCTGTCAACTTTGCCACTTCCTTTTCATCTTCCAAACTCCTGAGGAGTTCCCCCAAGATCTAATTTTCACTCTCAGTTTTTCACTTTGGAGGGCTAATTTATTTTTGCAGCTCCTTCATCACCTCTTTGTGGCTAGCCTGGCAGTTTGACCTTTCACCTGAGCTCAGTGCTATCTCTCTGGCTGTTTTTCTAGGCATTTCTATTTGGTATTCCTAATCTCTTGTCAGATTCAATGTCCAAAATGTGATTTATGTTAAAATGAGGAAATCCCAATTCAGACTCCTTTGAGTAAAAAGGAAATTCAGAGGCTTGTGCAGTCGGGAGGGATGCTGATACAGTCACAGCGTAGGAAGAAGAGCTGCAAAAACCAGGGCTGTAGCGACTGGAATTGGGGATTCCGTGCTTGTGAGTATCTGTCCATTTATCCATCTCTCTCCTACGTTCTGTCCTGTCTCCAATTTCTTGCTTTTATCTTATTCTCATGGCATGCTGGCCAAATTCAGTAGCTTTCATTGGCCCCAATTTTACATTTTCCCAACATGGCAAATGAGAAGAAAGCAAGCTGCTTTGACACAGAATCCATATATCCATCCCAGGGGATGACTCTGGTCCAACTTGCCTCCTGTGCTTACCCCTTGGACCAGTCGCAATTGTCAAGGCAGACAGCATACCATGATTGGCCTGTATTGGGTCACATGCCCGTTCCTGTTGGGGAGAGCGGCCTGGGGCAGTCCCACCAGTATGGCCTGGAGTCTGGGGAAGGAATAGCTTCCCAGAGGAAGGTTTGCTCAGTAGACAAAAATAGCATCTGTCTTCTGTAGGACTCATCATCTTCTCCCTACAGATCAATTTTTTCTTCTAGCTTAACTATTTCTGACAAAGGTATTCCATTTTCCCATTTAAGAACTTCTTCCATGTCCATCCCATTTTAATACCTATAGATTAATTAAAATACAGTTATATTTTCTAATCCTAAAAGGCTCAATGGCTTTCCATTGTATTCAAGAGAAAGTCTAAAGTCTCAGATTTGCTATTGTGAAGAGTCTTCTCTGGTCCATCCTACCTTCCCACTCTCCCTGCTCTTAATTCTGGCCATCCCAGCATTCCTCATCTTTCCAGAGATATATTGGCTTCCTTGCATTTGCTTTTGCTATCCTTTTTTCTCCCACTTGAAGTATCTTTTCCACTCATTGAAAGCTTCCTGTTTTCAAGGTCCAATAAATATCCTCCACCTGCCTGGAGTCTTCTCTGACTATTGTACTCATATTGATCTCTTCCCCTCTTTTCAAAAACAATCATTTTTACATCTAATCATATGCTTAGTATAGCTAAAAAATACAAGGCCTTATTTTCACCCCAGACTGTCAGACTCATTGTTTATGTCCTTGTGTTGTTATATCACCATTTCATCAGTGACTGATTTGTCTCCCTAACCAGATGTTAAGCACCTAAGGAACCATGTCTTAGATGTCTTGTGTTTGCCCCAGTGTCTAGTACAGTAGTCAGCATGTAGCGCCTATCAATAAGAACTTGTAAAACATAAGCAGATTAGATTTTAGCTTATCCCATCCCTGCTTAGTTTCCCTTAGTCCCACTATGGTTTCTTTTTTGTCTCTTTTATATAACTTTCTTTGAAGCTATTCAGGGCGGGGCCTCGGCACCTGCGTTCATAGACCAGCGCAGGGATCTAATGAGAAAGGCTATCCCTTGTTGCAATGAGCTCTGATTAGTTGCCTCTGATTTTGTTTCAGCCAAAGAGGAAGGTAATGCAGTGCCTCTTTGTCAAGCCAAACCCTCCCCCAGCTTTATTAATCTTCAAGCAAGTTCCCCACCAGCCACTCTCCTGAACATCCAGACAACAAAGCTGCGTTCACGTAAGGATGCAGGGAGGGTTTCCCAGGTGGATGCAGCAGCTGCGCCCGGCAGCAGGGGTTGGGGGGTGAGGCGGGGTTGCATGGAGGAGGTGGCCTGAGGCTTCTCCTGTTGATCTGGTGCCAACTCTGGGTCAAGCCACCTCTAGATTTTTCATTGGTAGCTTGTTAATTATTCAGTTCTACTGATTTCTTTTAATTCTTGATTCTACCAATTTTTTTTGTTTCCTTGGTTATTAGCACCTTTACTAGACTAGGCAGGACTGAAGTGAAAATTTTATTGCTTGTTAGTACTGTTAGTTAAAAAGTGGCCAGGGAAGGAAATAGTAACTATTAGGTCAGTTTCTTTGAAGTTCAGTTATCCATCCTCCCAAGGGGAAATCAGTGGGTATTTAGCATACCTGTGGGAGCCTACCAGGGCACTAGACAGTCGTGACCCCTGTTTTTGAGGACCTCAGAGTTTAGCAAAGAAGTCAAAACCAAGAAATACACAAACAATAGATAATATAACTACCAAGGTTAACTAAGAGCTGGCTCCGTATAATGTAGTTGAAAACATTAGGGAAAAAATGGGCTGATGCAGCAAGACTGGTTGAAGTTAGACAACAGGAAGAACTTCAGGTCACTGCTAATGAGATACTATGTCAGGTAAGAGAAGAAGGCTGAGGCATCCCTTGCGCTCTTGAAAGGGGAGTTAGGCCTCACTCCCAGACCGTTTCGTTCACTCATCAAATATTTGTTGAACATTTTGCACCAGGTACTCTTCTAGGTGCTGAGGATACAGCAGTGAACAAATGAGACAAAAATCCCTGCCTTCCTGGAGCTTACATTCTAGAAGAGGGACTTAAATTAAATAAATAATTACAAAATATGCCACATGGTTGTAAGTACTATGAGGAAAATAAAGTCAGGGAGAGGGGTAATAAGGTCCAGCGATTGGTTTCAAATTGAAATAGGGTGGCCAGGTAGGCCTCACTGAGAAGATGACAGCTGAGCAAAGGTGTATCTGGGTTGAGTTGTGCCTGGAAAGATTAGAGGGGTCATTTTGTTAGAGCCCTTCCCACCTTGGCACAATTACAAACATCTCTCTTTTGTCCCCTTTACACCTCCATTGCTCTTCCTTCAGGAGTTAACCAGAAGTCCAAGGAATGCCTAGGACTCCTAGAATGTATGTATGCCAATCTCCAGCTTCAGACCCAGCTTGCCCAACAGCAGATGGCTATTTTGGAAAATTTACAAGCATCCATGACACAGCTGGCTACTGGTGGGGGGGAAAGCAAGAACTCTTCTCTCCCAGCCTTAGCTCACAATCTCCTGTTAAATCACCTGCCCCAGTTCAGTAAATGAATTGTGGAACAAAGTTATTGTGTATGTTTCTTCCCTCTCTCTTCCCAATTCAACCCTTGGTGGAATTTAGGCATATAATCTACAAATGGTTGGTTAGTTCACAAGTTCATAATAAGTGTTCATTGAGTGCAAAGCACTGCATAAAGCACTTGGGGACACATATTACAGAAGAGACAGTTTTGAGGGATTTCCTGTCTAACAAGACAAATAAGACACATAATTCCTTGCAAAATTTAGTGGTACTCTAAGGGGGAATGGAGGTTGAGACATAGAAGTTACTAGGATACAAGTGGACCAATCTTAGAATCTTGCTGGAGGAAGTGGCCGCATGAGGCCACCTGATGGAGGGGTAGGATGGGGTGGCATGGCTAGATGAAGTAATATAGTTCCATGCCAGCTGGGAAGCTTGGACAAAGACCTAGAGATAGGAGAATGAGTCATCAGAAATTAGGAGAAGAGGTTTTCCCCCCCAAGAATATAGGCTATGAGGTAGAGTATAGAGCAGCTGAGAACAGACAAGGCAGCTTTCCCTGGGGAATTTTTCTGCTAGCAGCCATTAGAGGCTCTGATTTTACGTGAAGCACCGGAGAGCCATTGGAAGCTTTCAGACAGCAATGAAGCACACATAAAATAGTAGAAACACCACTGGCAAAATATTTTGGGGTGGAGGGAGAATGAAAGTTGAGAGAGACCTGCATAAATTAATAATAGTAATTTGATGTGAAACTCCTATGGTCTAGATAAAGAGTTTAGAAATGAAGACAGGTAGTAAGTCTGAGCTATATTGCAGAGAAGGACTAGTCTTGAGCTTGAAACACCAAGAGACAGCATCCTGAAATTTCTAAGTTGGGAAGTCACATTAACTTTAATGAGAATTCAAGTCCAACCGTACGTTTTCAGTGTTTGAGAAGAGGACAATTGAGATTGGCTTAGCCGTTAGAACCATGTTAGGTCACTGCTTTCTCTTGCAGGTGTATTGGCAAATTACTCTCAAGACTGGGTCCTCTTTCCACAGAGGCCTTATTTTCCTGTGGAATGTGTAGAAGATGAAAAGATAGTTAGGCTTAAATACAAAGATGAGGAGGAAATGAGAAAGCAGTGATTGAGAAGAAGACTTCATATTGGCCTTCAAATCTTTGAAGAGTTTTTCAGAGATTTCTTCTTTATTCTGTTCTATTAAAGAGGACAGAATAAGAATAAGGCAGACGTGAAACTTGAGGAATTGGGGTTTGGCATTCAGAAAAAATTCTGATTAAGCTACTGTCCATAGAGAAAGAGAAGGATGTAATCAAAATAATTTCAGAAAGAGAGAGACCTTGATATTTGTGGATAAGTTTGGACCTAACTGTGCTTGGGTGCAAGGGTAAGGGTAAGTTATGTCTGGAAGTTTGTTGCAGTTTCATCATCCCATTATTCTCATCAAAATGCAGCTTTTGAATAAAATCTGAATATGCCCCCCTCTTCTCTTAGCTAGTGATCTCTCCATTCATACTGAAGATTTAAGTCATGCTCAGTGGAGAGATAATCCTTGTTCATGGATAGGAAGATTAAATATTGTTAAAATGTCAGTTCTTCCCAACTTGATCTATAGATTCAACACAGTCCCAATCAAAATCCCAGCAAATTACTTTGTTGATATTGACAAACTGACTCTAAAGTTTATATGGAGAGGCAAAAGACCCAGATTAGCCAACGCAGTGTTGAAGAAGATCAACAACAACAAAGTTGGAGGACTGATGCTACCCAACTTCAAGATTTAATATAAAGCTACTCTAATGAAGACAGTGTGGTATTGGTGAAAGAATAGACATAGATAAATGGAACAGAATAGAGAGCCCAGAAATAGATCCACATAAATATAGCCAACTGATCTTTGACAAAAGAGTAAAGGCAATCCAGTGGAGAAAGGATAGTTGTTTCAATAAATAGTGTTGGAACAACTGGACATCCACTTGCATAAAAGCAAATCTAGACGCTGACCTTATGCTTTTCACAGAAAGTCATGCTCAGTGAAAAGGGCTTGAAACAGTGATCAACTCAGTAGCAATGAATCCCCCTAGTGCACAGATTATAGTCTCTATGGGCCATTTTTTCAATAAAAGGAAGCAGGGATCCTTCAAGTAATAGCTGTTTCCAGGTGTCAGGCAGGAAAAATACAAGGTGAGCCTAGAACGTCTTATTCTATCAGGTAGAAAGAAGCTGTCAAAGCCTGCTAGGATAGTGTCAAAAGAACAGTGTCAGTAGTCAATCTGAATAAGGCATACTTTAATTATAAAAACATTTCGGTCGGCGCCGGCCCTGTGGCTGAGTGGTTAAGTTCGCAGGCTCTGCTTCGATGGCCTAGGGTTTCACCGGTTCAGATCCTGGGCGCGGACATGGCACCGCTCATCAGGCCATGCTGGGACAGCATCCCACATAGCACAACCAGAAGGATCTACAACTGGACTATACCACTATGTACTGGGCAGCTTTTGGGGGAAGAAGAAGAAAAAGAAAAGATTGGCAACAGATGTTAGCTCAGGTGCCAATCTTCAAAAAAACTATTTCAGATATACAATGGAATACTACTCAGCCAGAAAAAAAAGACAAAATCATCCCATTTGCAACAACATGGATGCACCTGGAGGGAATATGCTAAGCGAAATAAGTCAGACTGAGAAAGACAAACACCAGATGATTTCACTTATATGTGGAATATAAACAAGCACATGGACAAAGAAAACAGTTCAGTGGTTACCAGGGGAAAGGGGGTGGGGGGTGAGCACAAGTGGTGAAGGGGAGCACCTATGTGGGGACAGACAAGAAATAATGTACAACTGAAATTTCACAATGATGTAAACTATTATGAACTCAAACTAAAAAAACTATTTCGGTGAAAGTAATGTTTGGAAAAATGTATACCATGCTAACAGTAAGCAGAGGAAGGCTGGAGTGGCTATAGGAATATCAGACAGAGTTGACTTCAAGACAAAGTGGACTGCCAGAGATGAAGAGGGGCGTTTCATAATGATAGAAAGGTCGGGATAAACTTTACATTCATACCATGGGGTACGACTTAGCAATGGAAAGGAACAAACTACTGATACATGCAACAACGTGAATGGATCTCGAAAACATTACACTGAGTGAAAGAAGGTTCACACAAAAGAATACACGTTGTACCATTCAATTTATTTGAGGCTCTAGAACATGCAGTATTAATGTATGGTACAAAAAAAACAAAAACAATGTTGCCCACAGGGATGGAGTGGGAATGAGGATTGACTGGGAAGGACATAGGAACTTTCTGGGTTGATGGTTCTGTATTTTGACATAGGAGTTTGGGTTACATGGGTGTATGCATTTGTCAAAACTCATCACATGGTAACACATAAGATTTGTGCATGTCATTGGATATAAATTTTACCTTAAAAAGAAACTGTAAATAAAGATTGAACTCTAGTTAATAATACCCATACAGAGGGTTTAGAGGTGAGGTATCCTGATGTCTGCTACTCACTCTGAAATGCATCAAAAAAATAAAATGGTTCAATGGAAGGATGGCTAGATAGTTATATAACAAAGCAAATAGAATGAAATGTTATTATAGAATTTAGATAGTGTGTATCTATGAATTTTCACTGGAAAAAAATAAACTTTTATGTACCTTTAAAAATTTTCATAATAAAATGTTGAAAATAAGAGGCCTTATATTTAGAGATACATATAAACATATACAGATGATGTCTGGGGTTTGCCTCAAATAACCTGGGTGAAGGGGACTGGTTTGGAGTATGAGTGAAATACAATTGGTCATAGATGGTTAATTGTTTTGTCTGGTGTTAGATACAGCAGAATCATTGCACTGTTCTATTTTTTATATGTTTGGAAATTTCCATAATAAAGGATTTTTTAAAAAAATTACGGACATTTAAAAAGCTTAAAACAACACAGAAGATAGAAAATAAAAGAGCATAACAGCAAAAGTCTCTCCTAAAACCCTAGGCCTTCTCCCCAAAGAAAACTGCTGTTGACCATTTCCTTTATTTTTTAATTTTTAGTTTTTTATTGCAGTAACATTGGATTATGACATTATATAACTTTCAGGCGTACAGCGTAATATATTTCGAATTCTGTGTAGATTGCATCATGTTCACCACCCAAAGACTAATTATCATCCATCACCACGCGTGTGCCTAATCGCCTCTTTCACCCTCCTCCCTCCCCGCTTATTCTCTGGTAATCACCAATCCAATCTCCGTTGCTTTGTGTTTGTCGTCGTTTTTATCTTCTACTTATGAGTGAGATCATACGGTATTTGCCTTTCTCCCTCTGACTTATTTCACTTAGCATTAATACCCTCAAGGTCCATCCATGTTGTCACAAATGGCCAGATTTCCTCATTTCTTATGGCTGAGTAGTATTCCATTGTGTATATATACCACATCTTCTTTATCCATTCGTCCCTTGATGGGCACCTAGGTTGCTTCCAAGTCTTGGCTATTGTGAATAACGCTGTGATGAACATAAGGGTGTGTGTATCTTTATGCATTTGTGTTTTCAAGTTCTTTGGATAAATACCCAGGAGTGGAATAGCTGGATAATATGGTAGATCTATTCCTAATTTTGTGAGGATACTCTGTACTCTTTTCCATAGTGGCTGCACCAGTTTGCACTCCCACCAGCTGGGTACAAGGGTTCCCTTCTCTTCACATCCTCTCCAACACTGTTTCCTGTTTTGTTAATTACAGCCATTCTAACCAGAGTGAGGTGATAAGTCATTGTAGTTTTGATTTGCATTTCCCTGATAGCTAATGATGTTGAACATCTTTTCATGTGCCTGTTGGCCATCTGCATGTCTTCTTTGGCGAAATCTCTGTTCAGATCTTTTGCCCACTTTTTAACTGGGTTGTTGGGTTTTTTGTTGTTGAGACGTATGTTCTTTGTATATTTTGAATATTAACCCCTTATCTGATATATGATTTGCAAATATCTTCTCCCAGTTGTTAGGTTGTCTTTTTATTTTATTGATGG